CTGCCCTCACTGCAACTCCGACTTTCTTGAAGAGCTGGACTCCCCTATTACTTTCAATAACGCCACTAATCCCAACTCCGATAACCATGACGATTCCAATCAATTGTTATTCCCTTCGTTTCTCGATCCGTCCTCTCCGGCGGCGGAGTACGCTAATTCTTTCCAGTTCTCATCTGTTGCCCCTTCCGACGATAATTTCCTCCTCGACAGCCCTTACTTTCACCGTGTCATTAATCACCTGTTTAACTCCGAGGACTCTAATCCTTCCACCACCGCTACCACCTCCCGCCACCACTCCCCTGCGTCGAAATCCGCCGTTGAAGCTATTCCTTCGGTTAAGATCACAGCTGCATTCCTTGAAATCGATCCGGTTGTTATCTGTGCCGTTTGTAAGGATCAGTTTGTAGTGTATGACGAAACGAAAGAGCTTCCTTGTAAGCATATGTACCATCCGGACTGCATACTTCCATGGCTTTCACAGCATAATTCATGTCCTGTTTGTCGGTTCCAGCTGCCTACGGATGCGGTTGATGGAGATTCGAAAGTGAGGAGGAGGTCTAGGTCTAGGGTTTTGAGGTTGGGGGATTTAATCGACGATGACGACGACGAAGAACTGTTAGGGTTTGGATTGAGGCACCTTGCTCGTAGGCACCGGCTGGTATTTCCAGTGAGACACCATCATTTCCGTCAACCGCAGACGGAGGAGGTGCAGCCCGAGGATTTCTTTTCTTCCACTCAAATTGCGGAGGAGGTGGAGGTGGATGCGCCGCCTGATTCACGGCGGACCAACAGCTTAGAGACTGTGTCCAGTTGGCCAAACTGGGCTGTTGATGGCGGAGCTGTTGATGGGGATGAACTTACAGTGAATACTGCTAGACTCGATGATGATGCTGATGTGATGATGTCTTGAACATTGCAAATAGAAGCTTCGTGTGAGTAAATTTGAAGGTATTTTTTGCTTAATTCCACTTGCAAGATTCACTGGCCTTTGTTTCTGCATATCTATTACAAGATTGCCTACATTTCAATTGAATCCTAAAAAGTTATTAGTTCATGCATTCAAGGTTATATGTCTCGTTGCTTTCTTGTAAATGCTTTGTATCTTTACCCTTTTAAGGTGTTATTTTGGGGAGTGTTGAAGGCTATTTATGACTACATACACCATGTCTTAATATGTTAAGTGAAAGAAATAGACACTTTTACCTATTTGCCCTTCATATTCTCACCTTTGTTGGCCTTCATTTCTGTACTAGTCCATTACCCCTTCATAATTATTTTTTCCCCCAATTTAATAAATAAACCCTCCATTATCTCCCCTTATTTGCTAGATTTTTTTAATCTCTCCCCATAAGATTATTATAATTTCTCTCGAATTTTTTAGTTTGATACGTAACTCCTCCACTATCTCCATTGAAGGTTTGGTGAGTTTTTTATAAAATAAATTATTATGTAATAGAGAATTGTTTTATATATGTAATCTCGATAAGCTCAAATGAATTGATTTATTATGTCTTTAATCTTAGTCAACTATCAAGTTTTTTTTATCATTTAGACATAAAGGTAAAATAGTTGTTTTTTTTTTATTGAGCAGTTTATGCAACACTTAACAAATGTTGTATGACAATAATGCTTTGTTTTATGTTGTTAATTGAATGCAGATGATGTATAGTGGTTCTTATACAGGGGTCCAAGGCACTTCAACAGCATGAAAATTTAACAAGTGTAGATTTGCTGTGGATGGATGCCTTTCTTTAATGTTACTTTATAGTAAACATTTTTTGCCTTTGGATTCTGTAATAAAAGATTAAAGGGCCCTTTATAGATCAACTCTTTCTTTCTCTCTCTCTTTTTTTTTCTTTTTTTTTTTTTCTCCTTTTTATTATAAAACTAGTTGTGAGAATTGGATCCATATATAACATGGGTTAATTTAAAAAAAAAAAAAGTTAAATATAAAAGTCAAAATATCTAAGAACTTTGATTTATAAGAAAAATAAGAAAAAATAATGAACTATTATAATGGAAATATTTTTTATCTTTTAAATTTAAACAAATAATATAAATAAAGAAAATATACCAATGAGCTTTAATTTTGGAATTTTGAAATTAAAATGTAAGTTTATTAATAAAATTAATATACATTTATTATAATTATTATATTAAAATATTATGTGGAGTTTAATAAAGTTTAAAAAAAAAACTTATAAAATGACATTTAAAAAAAAAAAGATTAATTTAAAATAATTATAAAATAACATTTGACAAATTGGTAAATTGAATGAGAATATGATAAGTAGCAAACAAAATATTCATTTATTATTGGAAATAATGCAGCCTCTTTTTCTACTTTTGTGGGATCTTGATACCATCCATAATTGATAATTGAGATTCAAAAAAGTCCGCTAACCCTTTAAATCATGTTATGTGAGTTTGTTTTGGAAGGAAATTAAGGAGAACGAGTTATTATTTTATTGGTTTATTTGAGTTAGGAAAAAATTATAATTTTTCATGATCATGAGTTAGAGCGAAAGGAGATTCAAATTGATAGTTATACAAACGTACGTACCATTGTTAAATATTTAAGGATTAATGGTGTAACATGGTAACCAAGACTTAGAGCATAGTCAAATGGTAGTTTTTTTTTTTTTTTTTTTTTTCTTGAAATTTCAAATATTAATAACTAGTATCTTAGAACGCGGGTTGTCACGAGTTGTTACGTGGAGTTGATTAAGGCAATATCATAGTTTCTTGTATCGTTATACATAATGGATAATTCATTACATATTTACAAATGGTAGAGTAAGCTTATATAACATTAAATATTTTGGGGCAAAAGTGGCTAGTTAGTCCATAACATCCTTATTACATTGCTTTCATTCCCATTAGCAAAAAAAACTATCTTCATAGTTATTTTTGGTCTACCGGCAGTAAGTTTTAATATATAAGTCCAGATTAACCATGTACAATTGTTTGATTTGGAGGAGAAGCTTACAAAATAGTGGTCTTGGTGAAGCTATGATTTTTTTCATAATCAATGACTTCATATGCGAATTCTGACACTTTGATTATTAATTCAAACATTTTGAGTACGAAATCCATACATTTATTATGAATTGTCATTTCAACATGAAAGTGTTAAATTCTATATATGAGTTGTAATTTTTTTGTATGTATTGATAAACATAATAACATTATTAGAGTTATTGTAGTGTTCTCAATATTTAAAATATATGTGATAAATAAATAAAAAGAATGAATGTTATTTAGTTGGCAAAAATATCATAGGAGGACTAAAGGAGATACAAGTAATTAAATCTAAGATTTTTTTTACCAAAAATGACACTTATTTATCAACTATGAGATTTGAGTCACTATAGAGAATTTATGGGAGTGTATTGCGTATATGAGAAAAGTTGTACAAAAGTCTTTTGGGTCTTCATAGACTGTATTTTTAGGGTCTAATGGGAACCTAGGATCGGCCCCTACTCCCTTGCTCCCCTATAAAAGAAAAACCCTAACACCCCCTTGGTGCATAGGTGTATGCAACACAAAAGAAAGAGGGAGAGACAGAGAGAGAGAGAGAGAGAGAGAGAGAGAGAGAGACGAGAAAATTGAGGAGGCCATGGGTGGTCGACAGCCAAAGAGGAAGAGAAGAATAGAGTGTTTCAACCTGTTTTGTTAAACCCTATGTAATACACTTCCTCTTGTGTTGGTATGGTTGGATGTCAATGCGTTGTTCTTTGGAGTCGGGAGACTCGGTGACCAGTTGGATGGGATCATGTGGTCAATAAAATTTATTTAGAATAGTTTGTTATGTTGCGCATCGGAAGTTGCTTAATGAAGGGTAGATATGGTGGACCTCGTTTCTTGTGGGTTGTCTGTTAGGAGTCTGGTTTTCCAGTATGAGGAATTGATCCAAAAATCTCGAGTGATTGCCAGATGGAGGTACACCTGAGCTGGTAAGGGTTAGATATAACATGAATTTTTTTGGATTGACCGTCCTTATTTATAAGGGTAGTGGTTTGGAATGACTTGTTAGAGAATCATGGGTGTATTTAAGGCTTTTGGTACAACTTTCGGTTTTAGGATTTAGTGAAATTCGCGATCAATGTGTTTTGAGTACATCGTTTTGTGTGTTAGTAGTGTTCTTACTAAAAAAAAGGGTAGGTCCAGCGAATGGACGAATATCAGTCCCGGAGTTTAGGCTCGGAAGTTTAGGAGTGATGGGTTCCTGGTCCCGGGAAGCATACTGATGGAGTCATTTCAGTGGTTATCGTTTTGAAAAGTCCCCAACTCTGTGGTTCTCACTAGAAGTTCGGTTCTATAGCTGGGAAGTCGCGGAATATCTTGGCGATGTATGTAATTGGTTTTAATGGTTATCCAATTGAGGCTTGTGTTGGGAGTCGCCTTGTTTTCGGATGAAGGGTGGAACAACAGTGAATAGTCAAGAGTCCTGATTCCCAGTGGTATTGGCAACATAAGTCAGGGTCGGAAGGGTTCCGTTTGGTTCGGATCGTAAAGAGAAGTAGTAATAATTGCGTTTAGAGATAGTTTGGCTTGCTTAAGAGTCAATCGAGGTATTCGATTTCTAAATTTTAGAAAGAATTGTGATGGTTTGTTTCAATGGTAAAAGTTAGCGAGCCAATAATTCGTTCTTGGTGAGGGTGCATGATATTCGTTAAGATGGGTTAAGGATAGTATGGGAAGGCAGTCACCTGAATGAGTCGACTTTTCGTTCGGAACGGTTTCCGGGGAGGACCGTCCAAGTGGATGTAACGACCCAATTTTCAAGGACAAAAATTTCGTTTTTGAATTAACGCGTTTAACAAAAAAAATTTACCAAGACATTGTCAATAAACATTCATTACAAAATGATAATGTTGTATTTCAAACCATAACATCAAAAGTATAGAAAATCAGAGTACAATCCCAAAAACTTCTTGCGGAAACATGTGTGTGTGTGTGATGCGTTGCTACGCCGTTGGCTCTTTCCCCTTCGACGAAGAGGTATCTGAAACCAAAACCAAAACCATAAGCACAAAGTTTGGTGAGTTCCCCCATCATACCACATACCACACAATATCGTCGGTATCTTTCAATCGGTAACCTTCATCGGTATCTTTCAACCGATAGCCTTCATCGGTATCTTTCAACCGGTAACCATCATCGGTATCTTTCAACCGGTAACTGGGGACTATTTCACCCCTACTACTAACATACAATCAACAGATACAAGCATACAGTCAGGCATATCCGGGTACTGACCTACCCTTGGGTCCTAAGGACCACTGTCAGGGAAACTAATCCCTACCATACACATAGCATACTACCAACACATAACCAGACCAAGATAATTATCACAAAGACCATTATCTTCTAAATACCCTTTTTGGTGGGCCGACATTGTGGCCTTAGACCCAAGTCTACTGGAAGGTAACTCACCTCAATGTCGTGCAGTGTCTGAACTTTCCTCGGTGCATAAGTGATAAGTCGACTCCATAAGACTCCTCGATCCCTACACGACAACCTTCAAGTCAACACACGTCACATACAAACCTAAACAGGGCCAGTCAAAGTCAACATTCAGTTGACCTGACTCGCCGAGTTGGCCTACCAACTCGTCGAGTCCATGCTTCACTAATCCCCCACAAAACCCCAGCTCCACTCGTCGAGTCAAGAAAAAACTCGACGGGTTCTCCTTCAATCATAACATCGAGACCATCTTCATCCGACTCGCCGAGTTCCTTCTTGAACTCGTCGAGTTTATCTCCAACTTAAGAACTTGTCTAGTTTATGACTCGCGAGTTGTATGAACAACTCACCGAGTCCATCTTCAAAGATTGGGAGATTGCTATGGACTCGATGAGTCTGCTCATACCACTTGCCGAGTCTCATGGCTTCCAGGTCCCTTTTCGCGTCTAAACCCACAAGGGACTTCCTTCCTAACACTTACTCATTCACAAAAAGGGGTTTGGTGCACAATGGTCACCGACTCGTTGAGTGCTAAGAACAACTCGCCGAGTCCAACCTTGACCAACTCCCTACAATCGATTTAAATGAGGTCTAACACACCAAAACCATAGATTTGGCCTCTTAATGTCCATTTTATACGTAAAGTTCCAAACTTGATGCACATGCATGGGGTTTTTAGCTCAAAAATCCTACAATGTGCATGGGGCTCTCATGGCCCTAAAGTTGGCACCTTTATGCCACATAACACTCCTTAAATCCGAAAATGGCTTAAAAAGCCCCAAATGCACCCAAGATCTACAATATAAAGATGAACAACCAAATGAAAGACCAAAGCAGGGCGTTTTACCTTGATTAAGCTGAAAATGGAATGAGATTTCTGGATCCACAAGCCCCAAGTCGAATACTCAAGCTCCTCTTCTTCTTCCAAGCTTCACAAGTCAACAAAAGCACCAAAATGGCCTTAACACACACACAAACAGCTAGGGTTTCGATATGCAGCTCTAGGAGAGTGTTAGGGACAATGGAGGTTGAGTTAAGGTGTTTATATAGGGTGCAAATCCTCATATTAGGGTTTTTGTCCAGACAGCACGGACTTGTCGATTCCGGTCTCTGACTCGCCGAGTCAGTTACTTAACTCCTGTGTCCAATCCGCTTCTACTCTACGAGTTGGGCCACCAACTCGCTGAGTCCCACGCCAAAATGCAAAATACTTAACATAAAAACACGTACCAGAATACAAGTGTTACAGTGGACCTGGGAGCTGGAGCCTGAGATGATGGAGTATTACCTCGAGTTATTCATTGAAGCAGACTTCGAGGATGAAGTCTAAGTCAAGTGGGGGAGAATTTTAGCATCGTGTTTCAAGGTACTTTCATCTTTGTCCCTTATATTGAGATTTATTGCATTTTGGTCCTTGTAATGGAAGACT